ATGGACCAGTGGAACAGAATCAAGAGTCCAGAAGGAAACCCATATTTATATGGGCAAATAATTTTCAACAAAAAAGCCAAAGACATACAGTGGAGAAAGGAAAGCCTCTTCAATATATAGTTCTGGGAAAACTGAAAAGGCACCTCCAAAAGAATGAAACTAAACTGTTTTCTATTACCACACACCAAAATTAACTCAACATGGATTAAGGACCTGAGGATAAGACCTCAAACAATAAAATGCATAGAAGAAAACTTAGGACCTAAACTCAAGGACCTTGGACTTAAAGTGGATTTTATGAATGTGACCTCAAAGGCAATGGAAGTAAAAGCAAAAATAAATGAATGGGACTACATCAAACTAAAAAGCTTCTGCTCAGAAAAAGAAACCATCAACTAGGTAAAGAGACAACCATCTGAATGGGAAAACATATTTGCGATGAAGATCTCTGACAAGGGCCTAATATCCAAAATATACGAAGAACTCATACAACTCAATAATAACAAAAAAAAAGGGGGTGGCTTCATAGTGTAATGGTTAGCACATCTGCTTTATATGCAGAAGGTCCTGAGTTCACAACCCAGGTGGAGCCACGGACCACACCCCGGGTGCGCCAGGCCCCGGGTGTGAACCACGAGTGAGCGTATGTGAGGAGATGCCCCACCTTCAGAGATCCAGTTCTTAAAAGGAGACGGCAACATCCATAGGTCAGGGGTGGAACTGGGACAGGGGGGAATTAAAGAGGGGAAAAATAATAATAATAATAACAAAAAAAAAACCCACAATCCAATTAAAAGGGCAGAGGACCCAAACAGACATTTCTTCCTAGAAGACATACAAATGGCCAACAAACATGAAAGGATGCTCAACATCACTAGCTATTAGGGAAATGCAAATCAAAACCACAATGAGATACCATCTCACACCTGTTAGAATAGCTATAATCAATAGGACAAGTAATAACAAATGTTGGAGAGGATGCAGAGAAAAAGGAACCCTCATACACTGCTGGTGGGACTGCAAATTGGTACAGTCAATGGAAAACAGTATGGAGGTTTCTCAAAAAACTAAGAATTGTTCTACCATATGACCCAGCAATGCCTCTACTGGGTATTTACCCCAAAGACTTGAAAACCCATATCCGAAAAGATATTTGCACACCTATGTTCATAGCAGCATTATTCACAGTGGCCAGGACATGGAAGCAACTGAAGTGTTCTACAATAGATGACTGAACAAAGAAGATGTTGCACATATATACATTGGAATATTACACAACTACCAGAAGAGATGACATACTGCCATTTGCGACAGCAAGGATGGATCTTAAGATAATCATGCTAAGCGAAATAAGCCAGACAGAAAAAATTGAAAACCATGTATCAGTTATATGTGGGATATAAATCTAAAGCAACAAACAAACATGACAAACAGAGATATGGACAATAGACTAGTGGTTACCAGGGGATGGGAGGGGGAGGACGGTGGTAGATGGGGTAAAAGGAGTCAAACATGTAGTGACAGAAAGAAATCTAACTATGGGCGGTGAACACACAATTTGATATATATATGACTTACTGTTGAATTGTACACTTGAAACTTATTGGATTTCTTTAACCACCATAATAAATTTGAGAGAGAGAGAGAGAGAGAGAGAGAGAGAGAGAGAGAGAGAGAGAGAAAGAAAGAGGATTTAATGCCCCGGTGTTGACAAGGCACCTAATCATGCTTCTTGGTCCCTTACTGGCCCCTTGAAAATCAACCCAGTTCCTTTGTTGCTAATGAAAGTCTTCATTCAAAGAAAGTTGCAATGACTGTCATAGAATGTAATGACTGTGGCCACCTACAGTGCAATAAATAGCAGAACTGGCCAAGAATGATCAGTTATCTTCAATATAGTTTAGTTTTCCTTTCCATTGTGACCTGCTTTTTCTCCATAGCAAATGCTTTTGCCGCTGTTCCCTAGAACGACCTTAATAGGATCCTTGCCCTTCACCCACTTCCTTGTCCAGAATGAAGTCAATGTGCAGGGAGACCGTCAGGCAGAGTCCTCAGATTAAAGAGCTGCTCTTCCAGGAAGGCACCCCCAAGGCCGTATTGTTCTTCATGAAGGCTAATTTCTTCAGGCGACAAGTGGCTTCCTCCAAGAACAAAGTCTGCAAACCTATCGAGGTTTTTTGTTTGTTTGTTTTAAATAAAGTTAATGTTATCACAGAAAGTTTTATTTGGAATATAACATGTTCCCTTGCTAGATATCCTCTTTAATTAAATTGGACTTTGTGGCAATAGAGAATGGCATTTACACAGTGGGTGTAAAAATGGGAATGGCTTATGTGATCCTTCTGAAGATATTCAGGGAAGGGTAGAGAAGTGGGCAGACTTACAAGCACTGAGTGCTGCCAAACACATGCACTCCTGTGTTCTAATTCCTCTCTTCTCTTTCTTATTAGTTTAGATTTATTATTTATCCATTATTTTAGTGTCAACACTTTCCCTTTTTCATCTTTGAGTGCATTGCTATTTGAATAAAGCTATGAAGAGAAAGCAGTTAAGAGAAAAGATGGTGGGGCAAAGATGCCTTTCTTGGTGAACTTTAAAAATCATTCTCCACACCAATAGAATGAGAAGCACGTGATACATCCCAGCCCACCTTTCTCCCTCTCATACTAGAGTTATCTTTATGGCCTTCCCCATAAAACACATCAAATCAATATTTATTCTGACCTTAGCAGTTCTACTGTGCAAGACAGCGCACTGAAGAAAAAGACAACTTCCACATCATTTGTTATCCAGGGAAATAGTCTGCTTCTAGTCTAAAATACCTGTACCAAACCACCACAGTATTTTCACAATGATTCTAACCTGAGTTGTGGTCCAAGTAGCTGAACAAGGCTTACTTTTTAGGAGTCTGCAGTCTGGAGATGGCCAGCCACGATGGGAAGTCGGGTCTGCGGCAGGCTTGGCGCAGCTCCTCCAGAGCACTGGTTGTTTCAGCTTCAGTTTGTTCCCTGTATTCATCTTCAGTGAGATATGTAACTGCCAGTTTTTCTGACGTAAACCATTTCTTCATTTTCCTAAGACATACAGCACTTGGTTGCTAGGTTTCTGGCCATATTTAATTATTCAATTCAACTCTTAAGATTTTGAAAACGTTCTTTGACAGCAATAGTAATACTCTTTAACTTCTTTTATATCATACTATACTTTTTTATTGTTGTTCTGGTGACTGAAGTACTTAGAACATGCAGTTTGGGCCTCAGTGTATATTTACCCTTTTCTGGACCATCCTAAATAGTGTCTTAAGGTATTTGAGGATCAATTTCCAATAGAGATGTTAATCGTATTTTTCCTCTTCAGTGATTTCTAATCAAACAACCAGACAATTAAAGTCTAGCTTCTTTATGCTTGGCTTGCTGATTTTCTTGGGCACAAACAGAAGCCTTTGTGATGTCCTTTTACGGAGACCCAATAGAATTGGTTACCACTTACTCTTCTAGGCAGGAAAACAGGAGGATTTGTGGTATATCGCCTCCACCTAGTGGTGGTGATTCTGACTATTTCTAGAGAGGGAGTAAATATTGTACAAGGGTTGTGTAGGAACAATAATTTATAATAATTTTTCATTTGCTACATGCTGAAAGGCTCATGACTGGAATTTCTTTTCTGATCAGAAAAGTCCTAAAGGGAAGAATCTCATAAAAAATGGTAATGATGACAAGGTTTTAAGGTATATGTTATATTTATTGAGTTCCTAAAAAGGTTTGAGGATAATTTAAAATTTAAGCAGAGATTCCCAAATCTGAATGAGCATCAGAATTACCAGCAGATATTTTAAACATATATTTTCTTTAGGGTTGGGATCTGAAAAATCTAACTTTTAAAGATGGTCTGGTGGTTGGTATGCTGGATTCGTGAACGGTGGACATTATGTCCTTTTCTGAATACCTCGCCTAGTCTTCCTCGAGGAAGAACCCTGGCCTCTGAGCATAAGACTGGGGCAGTACCGGCTTGAAGTTAACCCAATCTGCAAACTAGTGCAATTTCTTAACAGTTCTGAACCTCAATTCACTCATATAAAAAAATAAAAGCAGTAACATCTACCTCAGGAGGTCACTGTATGGATTAAATGAGATATTCTGTATAAAGTGCTTTGCACGGTAAATGGCCCACAGTAAATGTTCAATAAGTATAATAACCAAATAAATAGCTACCATATATTATTAAGATATAGTCAGCAGCTCTTTGCAAACTAGATAGTACTCTACAAATCAAGGTATTATTTCGCTGGCTTATTATTTAACCTATAGTTCCTGTTTTATCCCCTAATTCTTCGCACAATTATTTACTAGCAAAATAAAAAGTTGACGTTTAATACATTTTGATTATTACATTCATGTTAATCCACTGCATAGCAAGTCCATAAAAGAACCATCGCGCAGATGATAGAACACACTTTGCTCTTGGCAGGGCAGCTGGATGTTTAAAGGGAGAGAGGAAGAAGTTCTATCCTGGGTTCCTCAGGATGCAAGCCTGGCAAGTGACCAGAGGCCTGAAGGATGTTAAGTGGTCAGCCTCCTCCTGCTGAGGGACCTCTGGTAATCCCAGTCACTGTCAGCCTCTGAGGCAAGGCAGAGAGAGGAAAGCCAGCATCAGCCCCTTCAACATGGCCCTGCTGCCCTTCAGCCTTGAAAAATCAACAGCCTCTGCACAGGGACTCTGTCCTGACACTGGTGCATTTTTAACCCTATGATGCCACCATACAAGTAGTCACCAGATCCATAAACTACCAGTTACCATGGAGTCTCCTTCCTCACAGCCAAGTTTACCTTGTAAATACTTATTAACTCTTCCAGCCTTGGTTTCACTGCCTCTAGGCCCTCATCATCTCTTGCCTTGACCTTTGTAATGTCTAATGACTGGTCTCCTCCCCAGAGCTTCCCCCTTACATCCACCCTCTGGCAGAAGACAGATGGGCCACATCCTGCTGCCTGATGAGGTCTCAACTTTGATTTTTGTTTAGTGAGTGTACTTTTATGTTCAGATTAGTTGCTAACATTTAAAAACCACAGAAACTCACATTCTAATCCACATCCCTAGCTTTCTAGGAAATCAGAATATCTGATAAGACAGGGCCCATATTCCCACAGGGCAACAATCAGCTCAAGCTGAGTGGTAACTGCCCCCTTTTTAATGAAGCTGCAATAAAATTTCCCATGGTCCTCATGAACACCCCACTGCCTTACCCCTACTTGGAATCACTCACTCAGCACCTGCCGGGGCCCCAAGCATTTGGATACATAACTCCTGTCTAGGCAGCAGTCAGAGAGCACTGACTAAAACACATAATGGTTACCTCCTTCCACTGTACACAAGATCAGATAAAATTCCTTAGCACGGCCTATGATGCCCCTATGACCTGTCTGATGCCCATCACACTTGCCTGCTTCATGATGGCACCAAACTGGGTTCTCCCTCTG